AAATAATAGCGAGATACATAGAGTGAATACATTTACTCTAAAGAATGAATGTAAGCAGATGTTTAAGATTATTGGGCAGGATTTTATTGCACCAAAGCAGTCAATACTGAGTGGTCTTGTGATCCATAAATACAAGCTAAGGTGACTGCTATGCTGTTAATGTTGCTGCCCTCCCTTGCCCAGACCAAAGCCTTAAATCATGCATAGTGCTCTTTCCACTGGGTGTAAATTTTCTCCAGGTTCTTTCTCAAATGAGAAAGATTACATTTTTTTTTAATTAGTAAGTCAGAAGAATTAGAATCCTGAAGAATTAGAATCCTGTTTGTCATTCCTGATTGAGTCTATTTTCTGATAGAAGATAAATGAGATAATAATGACTTGTTCAAGTCCCTCAGTTATTTAGTAACTGATGTAGAATTAAAACCAAGGTTGCTTGGTTTTGGGGTCCGTGTTTTCATGATTTGTATCACAAGTTCGATTATAATCTTTTCTATTTTAATTTCTTTCTTTCTTTCTTTTTTTTTAACCAATCTCTTCTAAATGAGATATGCACACCATGCGTTATTTAGGAAAGTTTTTTAAGTTTTTTTTTTTTTGTTTTTTTGAGACAGGGTTTCTCTGTGTAGCTTTGCGCCTTTCCTGGAACTCACTCGGTAGTCCAGGCTGGCCTCGAACTCACAATGATCCGCCTGCCTCTGCCTCCCAAGTGCTAGGATTAAAGGCGTGCGCCACCACCACCTGGCTAAGAAGTTTTTTAAGTTTTAAAATTCCTTTCTTGGAAGTAGTTTTCTATCAATTTTATTTTGAAATATAGTAATATGGTTTTGGAAATTGTTATATTCTTGGATGATCAGCCCAAGAAAAGACTGACTACAATGTACTGAAGTTTTTGGTTTACTGCATTAAGTGTGAATATTTATACTCATAAAAATTTGATAAGTTGAATTAAAAAGTTGAATTTGGGTTTAAAAGGAGCAGAAATATCCCACAAACATTAAATTCAATCATTTGTATAGTGTTCTGCTTAGTTTTGTGTCAACTTGATACAACCTAGTGTCATCTGGGAAGAATGAACTTTAGTTGAGAAAATGCCTCTATTCGACTGGCCTATAGGATGATTGATGTGGGAGGGCCCAGACCAGTGTGGATGCTTCCACCAGTGGCAGGTGCTTCTGGGTTATATATGAACAAAGCTGAGCAAGCCATGGAGGGCAAGTCAGTAAGCAGCACTCCTCCACAGTCTCTGCTTTAGTTCCTGCCTCCAGGTTCCTGCTTTGAACCCCTGCCCCAACAACCCTCAATGATATGATTATTGGGCCATATAAGCCAAATAACCCTTTCCTCCCCAAGTTGTTTTTGGTAGCGGTCTTTATCACAGCAATAGAGAGTGAGCTAGGACATATAATACATACATATAAAAATATATATTCTATCTGTCTATCTATCTATCTATCTATCTATCTATCTATCTATCTATCTATCTATCTATCTATCTATTATCTATCTATTTATCTATCTATCATACAAGTTTACTGTGTTTGCCACTATGAAATTAGCTTTAAGGAAAAGTTTTTCTTATTTATATTAAAAATTTTAATGTCATAAGCACCTAGACTGTTCATCTCACTAAAACAAGTTAATTTGTTTGAAGTGAAAACACAGATCCATTAAATTAGAATGGTTCGTGTGAGTTGTGCATTCACTCAATCTTTGAAATAATCACTGTAATTTCAGTTTTGCTCCCTATCCCAATAGTATATTGGGCATTTTATTTTAGGGATTAGAAATTTTCTGGTTATTGAGCATGTTCATAGTAGAGTTCCTAATCTTACTATAGAAATAATGGTATCATGTTTGTATGTAATCTGTTTTGTCCTGTCCCCTGACACCCCACTGTGACACTCTAGGAAAAGCCCCGAGCAGGATCACCAGTCATTCTGGAAAGAAAATTTGATGGATGTATAAATGTATATCATGTGCTTTCAATTGTAAACATTTCAAATAAACTCTAAGAGTTCTATCATAGTCTTTGATTTTAGAGAATATGTAGAGCCAAAGATCGGTTCTTCTGTACTTCAGCAAATAAGTACTTCTTATATAAAAAGAGAATTGACTAAGCCCATCAATTATCTCACAATTTAAAACATGTATTTAAAAATTGTTTGATGCAGAACAAGCTAGTAAGTTCAGATCTTATTTTCAAGGAGCTTTTTATCTAATTGGAATATGTATTAACTTATTAGAAATAATTAAGAAATTAACTTTGAACCCACAAAAATTATTTTCATTTCCTTAAAATGGAAGAAATATGAACTTGTCTGCCTAGTGAGTGTTGGATAGTAATTGAGGTGCTTTGTGGGGGCAAAGTCATATTAGAAGTCACTTTGCCTATTTTTAGCAGTTTTATTGAAGAATATTACTTCTATATTTGTGTTACAGATAGACTCATCTAGATATGAGCACACATTAACATAAAATGACTTGATGATTGGCAAGGACGGGATGTCTAAATCCTACACCTACTCCTACTCATCTACTGGACAAATGCCTGGTTAAACAGAGGGTCTCTGGGTGGGGCTCTCGAAACATATCACCTCCACCTTTATTGATGAATGATGGACCAAAATAGACTACAACACATTACTGCACTCCTTGCCATGATGCACTCAGTGAAGAGATATTGCTTATTTTTGTTATTTATTGTTGGAAATACATTTTTTTCTTATGAATGAAAATGCAAAAATTGGAAGACTGCAGATGGAATGCCAAGGGCCTGGAAAACCCACAGACAGGAAAGTAATTTTCAGTCAAATGGGGTGGAAAGCAGGTGTGTGAAATGACATGTGGTTTTAGAAATACATTAAGATTTGAAGGTATGGCTGGTCTAACCAAGAGATATGAGTTGATCATGGAATTCATCTACCAGAGAGGAGACAAATGAGAATTCTCATTACTGTTTTCAGACCCTGCAGCAAATTGACCTCGGTAGTTACAAGGCTGGGCCTGGGCCAAGATATGCTCTGGTTAGTGTTTGTGTAAATACCACACTTTTTTTTTTTTTTTTGGTGTGACACCAGAGGGGTCTGGAATGCGAGTGGTATCAAAAGAGTTCAGTTTCTGATTGATTAGTGACACTTCTATTCTGCTTGAGTTTTCGAGAAAGTACTGTTGGGGTAGGGGGACAGCGGCAGTTAGACAATTCTATAATTGGAAGATCACATAAGACAGAGTTTGATGATCTGATATTGACATATTGAAAGGACCTTCCAAGGCATTAGCTCTCCGTGCATTTTTATGATACGCTTTTTAGTGTTGGAGTAATCAGTACACCATCAAACATTTAGTCTAATTGACCTGTGAATATGGGCATATATCCTTCATATGATCAATTATTTATTGATTGAATAATTAGTAATAATAACTAATAACATTTACTTTTTGGGTTATGGCAATCATGATTTAATGCAATGTACACCAAAGTGCACACCAAAGGACTCCTCTTTCCTAAACAAATAATTTAATCTTTAGTTAACTTTTGGTTGCCATCTCCTTTCATAATACTGCTAAAACCTTTTTTTATAACATGCATAAACAGTGCCAATGATATGTAAGTGTATGAAATAAAGCTCAGTGCAGTATATTGACATCTTGATTGTGAGTAACATTGTAATGTTGAAGCCATCTCTCCAGCCCATGCAGTGTGTGTTGAGTTCTACCTTAAGGTTATTATGTTTATATAAATATAAATGTAACATTGTTTAATACTGCAACCAATTGTCTACAATGTAATCTTTAGATGATTTTACTTCCTTGAGTGCAACCCAACTGTATTTTTCATTTTCATTTTTGTTAATTTTGTCCTTTGACTATTTCTTACTTGTATACAATGCATTCTGATTACTCTATGTGAACCTTTTCTATCTTCCTCCCATCCCTGTCACCCCCTCCTTCTCTCCCTCAAGCTCTTTCCTGATTTCAGAACTTCTAATTTTATTGTGATCCTCTTAGTTTAACTAGGGACCTCTGTGTGACCACTGGATGGAACTCTCCACCAGTGTCCCGAGGTCACTAGTGGGCTCCCATCTGAAGACAATGACTCCCCATCTACCTGAACCTGTCTATAATGAATGTTTCATCAATGAAGGATATAAGCCCTGACCCCCTCTTCCATCCATGCTGGCTGTTGGGTCCATTCTTGTACAGATCTAGATCAGATACCTGCACTTGTGAGTTCATGTTTGCAATGTCTGTGTCTTGTCCAGAAGATGGCATTTCTTAGCCTGCCTCTCTCTCTTCTGGCTTTTGCACTCTTTCTGCCCCCTCTCTTACAATATTCCCTTAGACATAGACTGGACAATATAAATGTCCCATTTAAGATTAATCCCATCGAACTATCTTATATTTATTTGCCTTCCAGGAATACACAGGCTGAATTTCTGAATAAATAGGTGAGAATTCACATACCACTATTTAACATTTCTATCATCCTCCCAAATAGAGTCTACACAAAAAATGAATAAATAAGTCTGTTGCTTTAGTAAAAGTTTGACTTCTTATTGCAGCAAAATTTCCTGAGATTGTTTTGTTTGATGATGGTTAATTTAATTTAAATTATCATTATATTTTCTTGTTACATTGTCCTTTGAAATCATTGAAATTGCCTAAGTAGCTTTGTTGTATCTACAGTTCATAAAATGGAAACTCAGAAGATCAATTTAGATACAGATGGAGAATAAAAGGGTTTCAATATGTACTTAACTTTGTTACAAGGAAATATATGAGCATAGCCATTTGAAGAGAAAAAGGAGATAAAATAGGGAAATACTAATTTTCATATTGTCATATGATAGTGATAAAGTCTGTCTTTATATGAAAATGCATATTTTCTATATATATGTCCAATAAGATACATGATAATTACTAGTTTCTGTTTCAACTATTCTGCTACACTGTGTCTCCTGTATGTTTTAAAGTATAATTTCTTTTCTTTTCTTTAACAGCAAATGCCAGTCTTCTTGGAGGAGGTGGTGGTAAGTCCTGAATTTGGCTTAACTTCAAATACATTTTTGTTACATTAACCAGAAGATGATTATCAAGCTCTGTGATATTTACAGCAAGCTAATTTTGCTATTGTTATCAACTACAAAACTAATATTCTAGAAAATATTTTATAATAGAAATGATTCAGTTTGAAGAATTATTCTTATGTTCAAAACTGTTTTTTTCTTCTTGTTATCTTTGATGTAAGGGATGCACACACACACGAGAGAGAGAGACAGAGAGAGAGAGAGAGAGAGAGAGAGAGAGAGAGAGAGAGAGAGAGAGAGAGAGCTCAAACTCATTCTGTGACCACACACGTAGAAGATGAGAGTCGCTGCTAATAGGAATGTCAAGGTGCCAATATGTTTGTAGGCTCTGTCTTCTTTTCTTTTTAATCATAATTGCTTGGTTTTGCTTTTCATGACTTTGTGCCTAGAGATCTTAATATTTCATCTACTTCTTTGGAAAACTACAAGAGAAATTACTTTTGATGCTTTACTTTTTTGTATTAGGTAAGAGAAGAAAGCAAAAGTCTTCAAAGTGAAAGGAGAGGGAGACATTCCCATACTGCGGGATTCTTATGATAGAATCCAGCAAGTATGGCTTTCTTTTTAGGTTGGGAATAAGAATGCTTTTGTAGCTGCAGTATGTATAATATGCTAGGGGAGAAAGTGTTAGGATAGGGTCATTTTCACAGTAGATTCAGATGTTCATGGATTGGCTTAGCCTCTCACTCTTTCCCCCATCCCCCCTCTCCTTCCTATTTTGTTCTGGGTTTCCTTTTTAATGAAAGTGGCAGGTAGCAGTTAGGACTGTTCATCCCTTTTTGGCTTTAAAAATGTACTGGCCTTAATAGAAGATGCTAGTATACATTCTATCTAGAAATAAAAGCACAATCATGGTTCAATCTTTCTTCGGTGTATAATTGAGTGGAAAGCTGCTTCCCTCAAAGCATATTGCTGCATATCTGTGTGGCTGTTTATTAGAAGACAATGTATAAAATGCTAGGGGAAAGTGTGTTAGGATAGGGTCATTTTCACAGTAGATCCAGATGCTCATGGATTGGCTTAGTCTCTCTCTCTCCTTCTCCCATTCCCTTTCTTCTCCCTGTTTTGTTCTGCATTTTCATTTTCAGGTAGGTATCAAGTAGTAGGTAGGACTGTGCATCACTTTAAGGCTTTTAAAAAATGTACTGGCCTTAATAGAAGATTCTAATATAAGTTTTATTTAGAAATAAAAAAACATTATTGTTCAATTTTAATGGAACTCTTGAATTTGGAATGATGAAAAGGGGTTTAAAGTAGAAAGCACTGCTTATACTGTCACGTGTCAGTACATATCCTAAATAGGATGAGAGAATGTGGGATTGAAGTCTGTTATTGTTCCAACAACATGAAAGAGGTACTTAATACTCCATGCCTTCCCCGAAATACAACCTGAGTGACACTCCATTCCTAAAGTGTTGTGATGATTTAGCAAGAATGTCTGCTATGAGAAAGAATAGTAGGAGATTAATAAGTGTCTATTTTGATCTTCCCCAATTTATTTTAGAAAATATAACTCTACAGATTTTTTTCATCGTACATTTTACTGTACTTTTGGAGACTCAGAAAGGAAAATTTTCCTTAGGGGCTGGAGTCTTGGTCTATCTCCCCTCCAAAGTGCAGTGTATGAAGAAAAGATTCTTAAGATAAATTGCTCATAGCGGTGACTTTATTATAAGACATACTTGTATTTTAGGAGACGTGACTAATAGGTAAAGTGTAATTTTAAGATGGAGTTTACATGAGTAGATTTATCAACTTATAGCAACAAATTAGTTAAATGATTCATTTATTGCTTTTAATGATTTCTAAAGAGTGAGTCAACCAATTTTATTAGTTAAAATCAGTTTTTCTGCTCATAATGGAGAAGAGCTCCCAAACATTCTACTTCAAAGAATAGAGGTACATTTGTGTTTCACATGAACTTGTGCTGCAGATAGACTGGATTGGTTGCATGATAATTCATGGTGTCATCAAGCCTCAAACACTTCCTTTTCTGTTCTTCCTTCCTATCTTTCCATTTCAATGCCTCAGGGTTTTTAAAGGCTGCTGGTGCTCTAAGCCATCATAAATAAAGTGTAGACAAGGATAAGAAAGGCAAAAACTGTAAAAAAGTGTCTTCAGGGATGAGTCCATTTTCTTTTATATTTAAGCAGATTTCCTTTAAATCTTACATTTTACTGAGTTTGGTAAAATATTCATTCCTTGCATTCCTAGTAGTTTTTGATTTTAGGAAGCAATATGTTCATCAAAAACAATTATTCTGGTTATTGTAGAGGAAGAGAAGTGAAGGTTGAGTGAGCAACGAACTGCATGTGTCCACATGCCATAATGATCACTTTTCTGTCCTCACGTGACTTTGCATAAGTGTGCATGAGCATGGCTGGTACAAGGAATAATAATCGGCTCTAGAGACTGGCTTTACATTTTTATGGCTCTTCTAGCCTACTGGAGAAGGTACATTTAAGCAGTGGTATGGCATTTAGTGGTGTACTCATTGAAGAAATAGACAGGCTCAGTTTTCTGTGTCCCTAATGTAAGTACTGTTGTCTTCATCTACATGGCGGCTAAATTCATCATGATTTATAATTTCTGAATTGTAAATCTAGGAACTCAGTGATATAATAAAGATAAATTACAAGTAATTAATATGACTCTATTTTCCCCTTAAAACAGGTTGTCAAGAGTTTTAAATTCATTCATATACTTCTGGAATTGTCAAAACTGTTCTCAAATACAAACTTGGTTTTTCGTAGATTTTATTAAAAAATTGAACATAAGGAATACTCTGAGCTTTCCCTCTGCACTTTCTGATTCTATGACAAATCTTTGAAATCCTCTCATTGATGTTTATAAATAACAACTTCAAATTATCCAATAAAGAACAAGCATATGTGTCCTTTCATATTGTCAATGCAGATTGAGACTCATGAAAATAAGAAAAGCATCATCTACATCACTACCTGCATTCAGTTCCTCTCATTCATTTCCCATGATATTAGTAGAGTTTGTCCATATGTAGAAAAAGCAAATCTTCAGAGCACAAGTACATTACCATCTTATGGTACCTTTGGGTTATGCTTGGGTTTATATGTCTTTTCATGTGTTTGAGGTCAATCAGTCTTAGAAAACATTGTGATACACATTCAGTCACCTGCAATAAGGATGTCTTGTATGCATAAGGCTCTATATGCTGGTACTTAGAATATGTAATATGAAAGAAGTAATCATGGGCAGCCTTAAATTTTATGGAAAGGTACAATTAGTAGGAAGTAACAACTAGAATTAAAGAACTAATTTTCTCAGTTCCATCAGGACCATTATATAACAGACAAGAGCCAATTTTATAACCCGTGGCTTTAGATAATGTCTGTTCCATTTATGCAATAATTAACATGAAGCAGAGCATGATGATTGGACCAGTCCGGGGTATTGTTTATGGCATTTTCTTCCCTATTTGTCTGTCAAAGCACCTGAAGCATAATGTAAGATATTTTGAATGACAGTTCTTAACAGTGCAAATTAATATTGTTTTTTACATCATGATTTTGTTTGTTATTTTAATCATTTCTGCATCTGATAAAAAACTCTATATTAAATACTTTTATTTATATTAGCATTCTAACTATATACATTATTCTTGAGAATTTTATGCCAGGTTGAGTTTAAAAACTCTGAGAGTAGGCAAGCATTGCCAAATGAAAACTAAACACTCAGCCTGGGATCAAATGCATGGAAAGCCACTTGCTTAGACTGAAAACTAGACACATTCTTTGGATCTTCTCTACCCCGAATTCTTTTGGCTTTTTATGTCTTCTAGGTGTGGCCAAATAGGAACAAAATTCAGTGGTCTTAGGTTAGCAGAAGTTATTTTGAGGTTGCTCAACAGTTCTACCTGTAGAAAATTTCTAACTCTGTTTTGCTACTAATGACCACTTTGTGTGTCAAGACAGTACATGTTAAGTAAATATCAAGTCTATGCTTGAGAAGAGTGAAGTCATAATCATTTTCTGTCATATACAGGCTGTGAATTTCTACCCACACAACATTTATTTCCACACACATATATGCAAATGTTCATCATCCATTTTCACAATTAATATTTGTTGGGTAACTACTGTGTGTGCAGTATTGATTACTGATTAGCCAATCAATGCAGACTTCCTCTGTGGGAGACTTAGCAGCATAATTATAATTTCCTACATCCTCCCCAGTTTTCTCAGGACTCTTCTGATGTGGATCTTTTTAATTAAAATGATACTTTGATATTAACCTAGTGGACATTTGATGCTTTCTCTAAAACACAGGAAAGTCGACTTTAGACATGTTCTCTCACACAGCATTTGGGTTGTTACCCAGAACTACAATCCAATGAGCAGCAGCTTTTAAGTGTGTGCTAATATGGTTGAGTCAACTTTCATGGATTAACTCTTTACTAAATTATGTATTACTACTACCAGTGGTATTATTGTGGTTATTATTTGTGTGTGTGTGTGTGTGTGTGTGTGTGTGTGTGTGTGTGTGTGTGAATGTAGCTACATACATGCCATTACACATGCTCTCCTATCAACTGTGGATTCTGTGGATGCAACTCACATTGACAGGCTTGCACAGTGAGTACCTCTGTCTGTTGAGTCATTTTGTCAGCCCATGAGTTGCTTGTTAACCATTCACAAGAGAATGGAATGTCATCTTTTACCCTTCTTCCACATACAGAATGAGTTATACTGTACATGAATCACTAAACTGATCAAAGTCTCTATGTTTTTTCTATGTTTCATTGTATATCATTCATTCCTTCATTGATTCCTTATTTCCTACACCAATAAGCCTCCACACGTATTTAGTCCTCAGGCATGCTGGGAGAAATCTAGGATAATGGCCAATAGCCAGGAACCAAGGCCAGTTTGCAGGGGGTAGGGTATGGTATCCATGTTTGTCTATCA